AGTTACAATATATTATGGTCAAACAAAAATGTTTAAAGTTTGAGCAAAAATTTAATAAAATACTAAAATTATTAATATTTTTATAAAATAAAACTCTATAAAAATAACTATATATTACAATAGTTTGCGATATGATTGATAAGAACAACTTAATTATTATAAATAATTTATCCACAATTTAAAATAATTTACTCTTAGTAAAAATATAATAAAGAAGCATAATTAAATTTTTAAAAATAAAAACAAATATTACTCACTTTAGAATTCTTTGCAACTTCAAAATCTCTTGGCATGGCGGCAAGCCATTTCTTACGTATTGGGAAGTCGAAAAACTGATACTTTTGTACCATCAACTTTGTAATTTCCTCTGCAGTTTGGTACACAGCACTCATATACAATTATTCATAACACTAAGAATTAAATTAATGCTGACATTTATTACATTTGTAGAATAAATATAAATTTTACGAAGAACGTTGACATCAGAACACCGACGGTTGTTTACAAATTCAAATAAAAAATATTCGCCAATTGGCTGAATGCCGACACAGGTTACAATACTTCAGAATATCGCCAATGGCTCGTTTGATCAGATTCGGAGTTTTTCGTAAAAATGGCTACCCTGACTGGTTTTCCTCTGGGCCTAACTCTACTACGTCATCATCGCTTATAGTAACCCGTTGTGGGGCTTGATTCCTCTCTAGGAGGTATTGGCTGTCCCCTGTGCCATCACGGCTCTTATATAGGTTCTTGTCTAGCTTATAGGTTTTGTGTTAATATCCTCCTCCAGATTTTTTTAAGCATTTTAATTTGTAATACAATAATTTATTAACGAATGCCAGCTCTAGGGTCGATGCGAGCTGGGTGCGGAATTCGTATCGATGGGATTCGGACCCCGTTCAAATCATTGGTGGTCGAAAGCTTTGTCTCCTGTGCCGTCACGGCTCTCATATCTGGTCTTGTCTAGTTTATAGGTTTTGTGTTTATATCCTCCTCAAGATTTTTTTAAGCATTTTAATTTGTAATACAATAATTTATTAAGAAATACCAGCTCTAGGGTCGATGCGAGCTGGGTGCGGAATTCGTATCGACCAGACATCGACAGGATTCGGGCCCCGGTCACCTCATTGGTGGGCGAATGCTCTGTCCCCTGTGCCATCTATATTGACTCCCAGGGGTCGAAGGCAACCTGCTAGAACGAAATGAAATGAAAATGGGGTCAACAATACTGGATCTCATATAAGCAGGTCGTGACTTTTAATTTTGGCATTTCATGAATGGAATAATCAACATACACTAATAGTACCTATTTACTTACATTATTACCTTATAATATATTACTTAATAATATATTTCCTTATAAAGATATATATCTATCTACATTCTTCATAATTTATAAAAGTAGCTATAAAGTAAAAATTTTATTAAAATTTAAGTTATTAGGATTATTTTTTGATATATGATAAACTAGCAGTTACCTTCAGCTCCGCCCGCGTATCTTTTTATTTTCTCTTCCTGCAAGATTTTATTTCGTAACAAAAAAGTATTTTTCCGCGGTAGCCTAGCCTGTGTCAACTCTTTAGACTTTCAACTTTATATTCGCACAAGATCACTGAGATTTGTTGCTTAGTTTTTACGTGACAACTACGGTTTTGCATGCAAACTTATTTCCGCAATTATAATATTAATAGGGATTTTATACTGCGCTATTTTATTCCATTTACACATGAATTAAATTAAATTAGTTTGAATTTAATTAATAAATGTATAAAATTAACATGTATTTTTTTTAAAGTTTTTCGCACTACACTTCACTACAGTTAGAAATTTATATCTTTCACAGTGAGTAGCACTATACCGGCTGTCAAAAATACTTTTGAAGTTGATGAATTTTCAAAAAATCAATATCAGGTAAGCAGGGGGTCTACCCAAAACTGCAAAACATGACAAGGGGTCTACGAGACAAAAAAATTCAGGAACCACTGATATAATGCATAAAAAACTATAAAATGTACAGTAAAAGTTAGAATGAGTGAAATCTTTTTTTTTTACACCTTTTAATACGTCTGTGAAGGAATCGGTCATTTTTTTATTATCGATGTTATTAGATAATAAAGAATTTATTTACTAAACACAAATATTGAAGTATGAGAAAATTAATTTATCTTTTGTCTGCCAAGTTTTAGAAAGAAAAAAAATGAGGATACCTCAAATTAAGAGTTTAATTAGGGGATTTGTTTTTAGATTTCATAAATTAAGTCACTTCAAGGTATTATGAAAGAATATATTGAATTAAATTTAATGAATAATTAGTTAAACATACAAAAATTGTTAGTTTTTTGAACAAGCGTAATAATGCCATAGTAACAATCACTACATTTAATCAGACAAAAAAAATAATAAATTACGAGTTCACATCTCTTAAAATATAATTTTATTAGTTAAAAAAATATATTTAAAACTGATGGTTTAATGGCAAAAGTTTTGCCATAATAATTTGGTCAACATTTCATATATATGTTTAATTGTTCTGATATAATTTATTGAATGGTTTTCAAATAGATCATTATTATACTAATGTTACAGGTTAAGATAAAAATGATTTTTCGAGTACACTTGTTCGTAAAATTTTGACGTGTTTAATGTTATAATTAAAAGTAGCTTTATTCAGTTACGGTAGAGAAAAAGCATCCATGGCTTTGGACCACACAGTATGGTGGTCTCAAGAGGGTATGGCTTCACTTTTCTGAAGTTCTCTTTTCCTCTCTACTCTATGAATAAGAAACAAGGGTTTTTGCAAACATTATGAATTGTAAAAGCATGTTATAAAGAGGTAATATAGTATACTTTTATTACAGGATCTTAAGAGACTTGGAAAAGTGATTGTTAAAATCGACAAGTCGCAAAACTATTTAGAAGATGATGGTATGTTATAAGTGAACGTACGCCACAATCCTCGTGTTCGTTACAGACTCCAACGTACTCTAAATATTCACCTACGCATTATTTCTATATATATGCAAGAATAATTTTATTAAAAATCTTCAAGAAACTGAAAGGGTCGTCGCATGTTAGATGTTGAACAATTCACGTCTCCGGGGAGGTTTGAGTGAGAAAGTTCCATTGAAAGAAGATTATTTTCGAAGAAGTAAACGAGAACTGTAAAGGCAGGCAAGTTAACTTATTAAAATGATTACTATACTTTAAATGATTATTATACTTTATTTATACTTTATATTAATTATATTTCATTATACTTTATTTATACTTATAATTTTATTATTATTTATACATTATATTTATTCTTGTGAATTTAATTAAAATGTATTGCGTGTGTGCCTCTTTATTTACCCCTAAAACATGAAATAAGGTATTGAAAAAAGAATATCTTTAAACTAAATTACTTTTGAAGAAAAATAATTTAAAAGCATCTTAATTTTATCGAAGTAATAGTTAAATTGCTATTGGAGCAAAAAAAAATCGCCTTTTTTTAACTTATACACAATTTATGTAAGATGGAATTAAATTCATTTTCTCATTTTGTAGCTCTAGGACAAGTAATCACGCTTAGTTAGATACGATGTATTAGATATTAATAATTCTGAACATAAATTAGAAATTAATTAATTGCAATATAAAGAGAGATTTACTCCCTAAATAACCGATCAGTTCGGTAAATACAAAATATCTAACAACTGCTTCTAGCAAACTATGTAATAAATATTTGAAAATTATGGTTTCAGTAAACGAGAAAATTGCAGTAGTAAACGCGAAGTTATAAGACATACAGAAAAAAGCAAAAGTTAAATGCTTAAAAGCAGCGCATAAAAATAAGAATTTATTATGTCAAGAAAATTGTTAAACACTAATATTACAATATTTATATTTTAAAAAAAGGTTCTTGCAGGCTGAAATACAAACTGAGAACAGTCATTCATTTTCTCTAATTATAGTAGTGTTTGAATTTAAAACAATCACAATTCTTTTGTTAACAGTTTTCACCAAATTGAATTACGCGACGCAAAACAGCGATTTTCATCTTTGACACATAACAACTGAACTAATCGCAACATGCTGATAAAAAATTTTTTTAAACATTTTTGCAAATGTGTAAAATTTCATTTAATAGTTAGGACAGAGAAAAGTGTTCTCAGTAAAATGTTTTGAAACGATGGTGTTGGCAACAGTGGTTTTATTTAGTATTAAATATAGAGAAAACTTATTTAGCTAATGAAACACAAACACCTTATAAACACTTCCGAATTTAGAACTTTAATGAGCATATCGTATACACCAAACAAAGTTTGCGAGCATAACGATAAAAAGTAGACCGAGTTAGAAAATTAAACCATCTGAGTTCTTGAAGCTATCTGCATTCTGTAAACCGTACTATTATTAATCTATAATAGGGGTAATATTAATCTATATTAGGGGTACGCGAAAGGTTCATTTTAGACAAATTCCCGTTGCGATCATGAGCAGGAGCATTTTATGAGCTATTATTACAATAAAGTATTAAAACTGATGTATTGAACAATAATGAAGCCAAAAAAAGATATATTTAATTAATATTATATTAAGGAAAGACAAAATATTTAATATTTTTCTTAATTTAACAATAACCCATTTATAAAGATTTTGTCTACCGTACAAGTAATCGAAATGTTTCTTTAAAAATGTTAAGTGCAGAAATAATGTTGCATACATTGGAATAATTCTTGCTTTTATTTCGCTACCACTACAAAAAATTTTAATCGGAACAGTTTGTTACGTTTCTTGCTTTTACGGAAATACATTTATCTACTTCGTTGCTTTGTCCGGGGTATGCTTGGAAAGCTAGAGTGATCAGAGCTGGAGCTTTTAATAAAAATAATATATTAGAGAGAAAAAGCTGAGGCATTTGTATATAAATGTAAAAACTGTTCGAAAGGCATGGAGAGTGACAGCTAGCAGGGGACGGATTAAACGATTTAGTACAGCGAATGCTATTAGCAGTAGAATGGCATGTCTTTTGTCGATAAATTGACAATGAACAATTCGTATTTCCTTAATTTCTAAATATTTTTAGGAACAATTCAACCATGAAGTTGCGTATTTTCACAAACTTTTTTTTTCAAAAGCCCACTTGTGTTGACCTTTTCCCGTCATTCAGGCATATACAGAGCAATTTTGTTGGCCTCTCTTTCAGGAGTACCATGTTAGGTGGGCCAACGTAGATCCCATAGTGAGGACTAATAGTTCAGAGAAGGGAAGAACATCCATGCCTTGTCCGGGATTCGAACCCAGAACCTTTCTGATGCATGGGCAGTTCCCTGCCCCTACATGCCGGTCGGCATTTTTTTACGAACGTATAATAATCTACTTAAATGCCGTGATTTTTTTTCTACTATATAGGCGATCCGCTCAGAACGCTAAGCAATCTGAAATGGATTTCTTCAGAAATTCCGGGGGTTGGCGAGAGATAGCACGCATATTATTGTAATATTCCTAATAGACAAGATTTTATTTTTATGATAACGTTGAGGTCCACTAAAACTTGGAGAAAAAATTATACTTAAAATTTTAAATCGCGTCCTTTTTTAAAACTACACTCTCGGTATAACTGGCGGAGATAATTCAAGAAACACTGCACTGAGTCCACTGTTTAAAAAAATAAGTATATTTTTGTAGTTGAATTACATAGTTTTCCTTTGTCAAGATTTTTATTCAAGCATGTAGAGTCTAATTTATATCTGAAAATAATTTTCTATTTAAAATATTTTAAGAGTTTCACTATAATAATTCACTATATAAGAGGTTCACTATAATATAATAATAAGTCATAAATAATTTTCACTTTGTCTGAGAGTCGTAAGACAATCATTTAAAACCGCTTGTGTTTTAACTTTCAAGACAAAGCGGTCAGATAGGCAAGCTAATCGTTTCGTATGAGCCAACCTATAATTTATACAAAATAGTATGATAATATTAAAACTTTTGGCTCGACCTCTGGAATTAAGGTCATAAACTCTTATGTATTAGTCTAGCTAAGGCTCCTATACTATCAGAGCTGACCTATCAAGCAATATTGAAGCAAAAAAGCTCACAAGTTAACGCTATGTTAGTATTGGGCTTATGTTAGCTCTTTGGAGCAAAAATAGATGATGAGTCGGCCTTTATATTTGTTCTAAAATGGTATATTTTTTTGCAGCATGAAATCTAAAAGCAAAGTAGAGCTCAATAGTTTTATAATATATTATACATATTTTAGTTGAGTTGCACTAATTAAAAATTAGGAGAAGCTGATAATTTTAAATTTCTTCTAAACATATAAATCTTTACCTCTCATTAAAAAAATCAATATTAAAATATCGAGTGAAATTTTTATAAGAAAGTTTTAGCTGAATTTCTTTAATTATATAAAAAAAAAAACTCTTTACAATTCAACTTTTATTTATAACACAACGGTAAATAATTAATGCTTACATAAATTGCGACATTTGATATTTTAAAGAAAAATATTAGTTTCACTTACCCCCAAAAAAAGACTAAATGGCTCGAGGAGTATTTTTAGTATAGCGGGTGGGTGACCACTTGGATCAGTCTGCGTAGGGACCGAGGGTGTGCGGTATTGGTCCTCATTAAACTGTTCTGCCGCAAAGTGCTCGACTTCGCGTGCAGTCGTTGGGCTACCGTAGCGGGGGTGCTATCCCCTCTGCGGAGGATCAAAATTGTGATGGCATGTCTTCGGATCATCCTCAGGGATGTTTCCCAGAGCCAATAGCCCATTGTGCAGCTCTAGTGCGACATAAATGAACAAAATCAAATCATAGTCTTAATATATTTCTAATTAGCTATGCGACATATCCAGCGGAAATTACTGCTACCGAATAAAAAAAATACAGGATTCTTTTTGAAAATTTCCCTTCGACTTCTTTTTTCAGGATCAAGGGGTATACTTTTTTTTTTTCGGTAGAAAAAATCATTTGCTAAAATTTCTTTTTTTTTCTTTTTTTTGCTGAACTTACGATTTGGTGAATGCTTAGGGCAGCTCTTAATAATTATATACTGAAATAAAATAACAAATTTAATGTATGATGACTCTGAATTAGCATCATACTGTTACTGTAGAATAGAAGGCCATGTGGTAACCTTTATTTACGCCCTTTCATAAGACTATACAGTCTTTCTTTTTTTATTATTATTATCGTGTAGAGTTGATCTGCTATTGAGATAATAAAGACTAATCACGATAGCAACTTTAAATTCCACAACTATCGAAAAAAAAGATTGTTATTTAATGGACATTTTGGAGCGACGAAGGCAACTTTAATATCCAATGAAATTTTTTCAATTAAACAGAGCCCATTTAATTAACTATTCCTTTAACATCTGACAAGTTTTTTTCAAATGAATTAAAATTTCAATAGATTAACATCTGGAATTAAAAGGAACTATTTTGTTTTAGATTTCAAAACTAATCGCACACAATAAAGTTGACTTCAAAGTTTCAAGAAGAAGTAAATTTAAAATTAATTTTGTTTATTCGTTAAAAACATAAAGATTGTGAGTTCGCGGTTAGACAATGGAAATAAAAAACAATTATTATGAAATTACTGGTGACCTAATATGAAAACGATGTTAAACAAACGTAGTAATGTAATATTTACAACATTTAACCAGACTTGAAAAATGTTAAAAATCTTTTTTATTGCCAGAATTTTCTTTAAACTTTTATTGTGACCTTTAAATGCGGAACAGAGCTCCATAACAACCCATGAACTGTATAAGTAATCATTTGTAGAAAATTATTCTAATTTAGTTTAGAAAACACATTACAAAAACCTGTTTTAAAAGAAACACAAATACTTGCATAGAAATTACGTGTATATTTACATATAAATAGGTGTATGCTTTCACCATTCTTTTTTTGAAATTTTCCCATTCCAATTGTTTTCTTTGGTGTGGTAGTATAGAATATTATAATATAACTGACCTAGTTAAGAAATTATAGGGTAGATATTTGGATACAGTATAGAAGCAACATATTCTTCATTTTAACGCTTTTAGTAATATACGTACTTAAGAAAAAAGAAAAATATAAGTAAAGGAATATTTTATTTATGTTACGATATTGTAAAATAAATTTTAAAAAAATATTTTTACTAAATATAGTTTTTAAATATTGATCATGTGCGGGGATCGAGCCCCAGATACATTTGCCTATAA